GTTGTGACGGTGTCCCGGTCGTGTTGTGATGGTGTCCCGGTCATGTTGTGATGGTGTCCCGATCATGTTGTGACGGTGTGCCGGTCTCAAAACATGAACCGGGACACCACCACAACGTGACTGGGACATCATCACAGCGGGACACCGTCGCAACGTGACCGGGACACCGTCACAACACGGCCGGGACACCGTCATGACTGGGACACCATCACAACATGACGGGGACACCATCGCAACACCACCGGGACACCAGCATCACATGACCGGGACACCACCAAAACGTGAGGGTGCCCGGTCGTGTTGCGATGGTGTCGCGGTCATGTGATGCTGGTGCCCAGTTTGTGTTGTGATGGTGTCCCGGTCATGTTTTGATGGTGTCCAAGGAAGAGATGGTCGGTGTGTTGAAAACAGCAGCTGTTTCCAGATTTTGCTCTTTGTCCCGGTTTGTATCTTGCTATTGGGGTCTCCAGCTGGGCTAATTTGGAATATGTTTGATCATCATTGGTTTCCTTTTCTCAGCGCAGGTTGCTTCCACACACAGGGAAACATTTACAGGAGACTCCTTTTGCCCCGCAGAACTTTCTGCAGGTCATGCAGTGCTCCGCAGCGAGTTTCCACTTTTGGCGCCCTGGCTGTTGATCAACGAGGTGTGTAAACCTCCCCGCTCGACTTCGTGAAATTGATTCCAATCCATTCGTCTCACGCACCTCACGCAGGGGATTCCAAACGTCTGAGACGATGGGCTTTTCGTTGGTCGAACCCTCCCAGGCCGGCGCCATGGTGGATCCGTCGAGGCACACGGTGTACGATCCATCCGAGAGGCACTCAGTGTACAACCTCTGAAGCGGTGAATGGAACTCCGCGCGAATGGTACGTTTCACTCACTCATCAGTGACATTGTGGTGTGACACGCACCAACCTGATTGCCCGCGGCGAAGTGCCCCGGCACGCGGTAGCTATGTAGTTCCGCTATGGTTTTGTTTTGGGTGCTTCCGAGGCAGCTCGTTCCTCACAGATGATCAAATGCATTTTGGTGGAATGTATCGTTTCGTTGACGTCATTTGATCTCGGACATGAGACGACATTGACTTGGGGCGGGATGCTGTTGAGATACCACCCGGATTTCATTGTAAATAGAAAGCAATCGCTGCTGCAGTGTACAGACGAGTGGCATGAAGACGTCGCGACTCCTCCACGTTTTGGTGGCTCTTGGCCGCTGATGGACACCCATCCACCGGTTGCGGGGGAGCCCCGGTTCCGCCACTCGTTCCGTTCCCGTGGGAAAGATGGCAAGGCAAGGGCTACGGAAGACAGGGGCCGTGCTACGGAAGACAGCGACCGCAGGCCGTTGGTGTTTGGTTTTCGTTTGGCCTTTGCTTGCCGTATGGCCCATCGAAAGTCTCATCATATCCGCGATGGGGGCTGACCCTGAACGCAGGACCTCGCTTTTAATTCGCCATTTGATAAGAAGGCGATGGCCGTTGAAGCCTTGTGCAGTGGAGGCAGGTTTTGTCAATTGGTATTTCTTCCTCTAAGGCCTGATGAGGCCTCCTTGCTACATGGAAGGAAGCAGGAAGCATAGGAAGGGGGGGACTTGGCCAAGGTGATTGGCTGCCACTGCAGAAGCTTCTGCCTTCTGCGACCCGGCGCGTGACGACGTGCTCCATGGTTTGTTACCGCCCGGTCTTGCACAGCGCCGGACGATGAAATCGGCGGGTTCTCTGCATGGGGTGATCCATGGTCTTCCTCACTCCACCTGGCGACTGATTCGAGTAGATGAATAGATGTCCTAGAAGCATCTAGAAGCTGGTTCTGAAGATGGTATGATTTCTAGATGGCTCTTTTGGAGGACCAAACGGAAGATCCCAAGCAAGACCCCACCGACTGGAGACAGCAGATTTGTCCGTTGTCCGACCATGAGGCCAGCCGAGTTTATCAGCCCAGTGTGCCTTCCAAGATCTTCCAAGAATCCCCTTGCTGCAACAAACCGCCGTGCTTGGTGCGTGGCCCCGCCCTCCCCCCCAGTCTGGTCGGTTCCGTCCAATCTGCATGGTCTCTCCGTGGGTCGAGCGATGCGCGCGTGGCCGACAAAAGCACCTGGGACGTCCTCGGAGAGGATCCACCGAGCTTGGCCCCGGAGCTGAGACAGCTCGGGGAGAATGGAACGTTCGGTGAGAGTGTCCGGTGTGCGATCCAGCAGGCGCTGCTGCGTGGCTAATGGCCTGAAGAGGGGCGATCCAATGTTGCGCATGGTAGCACCTGGTTTACCCACCTGGTTTACCCACCACCCATTTCTTAGGGGTTGATGAGCTACGGGAACAAACTCTTCGTGCTTTTGGTTCGTTTCGTGACCGTTCTGCGAACTCGTTCGCCACCTGTTCAGACACATTGCGAACCTGTTCGCCTGGGCAGCCCCCCGTTGCCGGGTTGGCGAGATTTGGAATTTGGACGTTGGGTTTCAGAATCTCCAAAAATCTTTTCAGAATCATCGAAAGTCGAGTGAGTGAGTATAGTGACTTGGATGTGGGTTTCTTCCTGAGACTTGCGATAATACAGCCCAGGTGACAGGATTCTATGTACAGCAAAGACCCAGTTTTCATTGAAGCAAGGAAATGTCAGGCACAAAAAGGACCACATTTGCACTCACGCGGATGGGGACTGACGTGAGGGCGACGTTTTGGTGTACCGTTTCGTGCACGGTCACCGTTTCGTGCACGAACATCCCTTCCTCTCGAGAAGCCGAAGCCGGTCGGGTGGGGAATCAACAACGCGTCGGCTTAGCTGAGCCGTGTGGCTGTCGCTGGACAGCGAGGGCAAGTCGGTGGACTGGCTGGATGTGGCTCAAGCTGAGGATGGTCGCAATCTGGAGCTTCCTGTGATTACCAGCATTTGGCAGGGTCATGGATCAAGGATTTCCACCAGCGTTGGACTAAGCACTGGCCATTTACCCACAGAGTCTCAAACACTTGTATATATATATATATAACCTTCGGAAAGCTGCTGGGCATGCGGCATGCGTGGAACGCTTCTTGCGAATCCTCTTCGATCTTGACTCTTGTCCCCAAGAGGACCGGAATGGGGCCCAACGCTCGCGTCTCGACGCCGATCGGTGCGACCATCACCTGATGTGCTAAACATCGAAAGGATCGAAGAAGGGAGGAACAGACACCCATGATGTTCGCATGATGAGCGCCGGATTGATCAACCACCTGGTTGAGGTTGAGGCATGAACTGGGACTTCTTCGATCTGGTGGTACGGTGACAGTACGTATGCCAAAACAAGGGCCAAAACAAGGGCTATCGGCTATTCAACCCCGGCACAGAAAAGACCATTCGTCGGGGTGGACATGTCACTTGGTGCTTTCTGACGTCGACGTTGCCCCACTGTGAAGTCGCTCCAAAGTCGAAGTAGAGCTACCCCGAGCCATGAGTCTGGCCGAGTCTCGCTACGTAAGATGCAGAATAGAACGACCAGGACCGGCACCGTTCGCCCGGTAGTTTTTGGACACCGCGTTCCTCACCTCTTAAAGCAGATTAAATAGACACCTCTTGAAAGCTTGGTCACAGCCATGGGCCATTGTGAGCCGGAAAATGGATCATCCTGGAATCCTGGAGCTCGACCAAGCGACAAGGTCTGATCCCCCCGCATTGCGGGACCGGGTCCGATTTTTTTGCCATTCCATGCTGGTGAAGTAGGCTGTGACAGTGCTCCCAGAGGTTTCTTGAGAGGTTCCCCAGTCGTTTTGGAAGCCAAACCTCCGTAACCGTCTCAGTCTGAAGCACCACTCCCTCCACAAACCGCTTTTCCCCATCCCCTCCGCCGTCCGCCCTGTGTCACACGCCCGCAGCTGCGATGGCCATCGATCTGAGGCGTGGGACGGCTCACCGCATGGGACCGGGGCACCGGAGCCCTGAATGAGCGGTTTCCAGCGCTGAAGCTGCAGCTGCTCGAGGAGAGGACCACGACACGGATGGACGAGACGGTGGACGAGACGGTGGACGATTTGGACCGGGAACTTCGACAGATACTGTACATGATACTGTACAGTGTACAGATGCCATTCCCGTTTTCTCCACGTCTGGAGACGGCTGCACCGGCGTGAGGAGCGCGGAGCGCGCGGCTCGCAGTGCGGAGCGCTGCTGCTGCTGGGAGCCCTCCACGACCAGGACGACGTGGCCCAGCAGGTGTGAACGACGGTGCGCCCCAGAACGTTGGATCGTTCGGGGGTCTTTGGGGGAGTGGGGAATAGGAGGACGCCAACTTGGAAGAGGTCTTGGCGTGGGAGTTTGGGTAGAGCTCTGAAATTTCCACAACTCTGACCTCTGGACCTTTAGGTGGCATTTTTGGTTGGGATTTTCGGTAGAAAGCAACAGGCATTGTCTGCATCCAGAAGTTGGAGGTCTTGGCGGATTTCAGATGATTGGACATTTGCCGCTTTTGCTTTGGACCAGCATGTTGTAGACCCATTATATAGGATGCTAATCATATAGCCATGTATCATAACCTGGAATCCCCGACCCCTGTTTTGCTAGGAAAAAAGATCATATGGTCCAAAATAGAGGTCATGACCTGGTTCTAGGAAAACAGACGACAGTAATTCTTGCCGCCCCGTCGATGTGTAGACTCGACTCAAAAAAGAACGAACCTCAGAAGCAGCAACCACGTGCTTCATGTCTACCACGTGCTAGGTTCAAGAGGCCATCGAAGATCTGCGGCCAGATCATGTGGGCCTTGAACTCTGCGAAAGGCGACGGCTCGGAGAAACGGATTCAACGGTCACGAACGACCGAACGAACGACCAAACGGTTCGCGCGGCTACGAAGGAGACAGTGCACACGACCATCCAAGGGTTTTTCCTTTGGGCGGTGTTTTGTGAAGATGTGTAGCTTGAATGAAGATACCAAAACATGGTGTGCAGATACATGGAGATACCATTGGGGAAAATTGGATTCTGATTACGTGGCTGCTTAGTATTCTAAGTCTACACGTGGATCCCAATAAACAAGACTTTTCCTGCTGTGTACTTCCAGTGATATGGCTGTGAGTGTTCCGCAAGCTACGCCACAGGCTTGGCAGTGCACATGATGTTTGTGAGAGAATTGGTGGCCAAGCCTAAACGTTTGAAAGCATCATTGACCAAGGGCTATCATCACATATCATCGTATATCATTATTTTTTGCCTTCATTTTGATGGAGGTTCTAAGTGTAATGCAGCACCATGGTTCAGATTCCAGCCTATCTCAAAGTTGCTATGAGGTCAAACATCTACGTGGCAAGGTTTCTTAAAGTGTTGTGCTCAGAATTGAAAGCATCATTGGGCTTTAAAGTCGGTTCATTCTCCTTTTGCTTTCAGGTCTGCAGACCTGCAGGTCAGGTCTAAGTCGGATGCCCCAAGGCCACAGGTCTAAGTCTTTAATGATTCGCAGCATCCCACGACTCTTCGGCATCCGGTTCCACGTCCCGGTTCCACGCGGTCGGTCTCTGCGGCCGCGGGGAGAGGCGCTTTGGGAGGATGTTCCCCATGGGTCTTGAGCACTTTGGAGAGATGACCACGGAGGAAAGGCGATGACCGCGTGATGCTGAGAGATGACCCGGTTCCAATGAGAGATGGACGTGGGGGGTTTTGGATGGGCTTTTGGAGCTTGAAAGAAGGGATTTTGGACATCAAGCAACGATGGAATGATCCAAGACTGATGAGGATAGATGGTACTTGACTCTGAACGCTCTCGCCTCTATAGGTGTTTCAGAAGGAAAAAGGAGCAGGGTTTGTATTCCCTACCACCATCTTTGAGGCGGATCAAAGCTAACTCAGCCAAGTTCCCTCCAAAAAACAGCTCAAACTTCCAACAGAGTATCAATCATCAGTGATGGTCCTCCTAGCGATGGCCTCCCACCCCAGCACTCTCAACCTCACCTTTGCCGCTTCGAAAGGCGCCGCTTCCTGGCGCAGCTGCGCTCGGGGAAGGACCAGCTCAGCGCGGCCTTGGCGGCGCATCGCCTCGGCGTCCCGGTGGGAGCGTTTCCCGTTGTGGGAAGCGGTCGCGTGAGCGTTGGCGACGGATCGTAGCAGGACTTCCTGTGTTTCTCCCATTGTTTGAGATTTGGAGCAACAACTTGAAGGCCCCTTTTTTCACAGGAAGGACAGGTCTGTCAAAAAAATCAGCCTTCACCCCACCTTCTGAACTCTCTTGGAACCCGATGTCAAGAAAAACACCCCGCAGATCCCCAGCGGACCGCTTCCCCGGTGGATGCCGTCGGTTCCACCGTCGCAGGTGGCGCTCTGCGACCGAGATGTGCGCATCACCGAGGACCGCTTACTGAAGCACTTGGAGGTGCCCATGCTCCGAGCAGGCGAGGGGTCTGGGGTGTGAAGCGTTTCAGAGGTGTTTTATTTGGGTTCTTCTTTCTTGGAGGGTGATGATGCTGTTCGACCTGCATGTCCAAGACTTCATTTTCCTTTTCAAGATGCTTAGTAAAGTTGGCACCACCTCAAACTCGCTCTCTTCAGAGCATTCATCTTCCTTCTGCTCAAACTCTGAACATTGTGACCGCGCTGGGGAGACTCACCGGGACCCACTCGCCTTCCCACAGACCCACCGGCAACCCACGGACGGGTTCCGAGCCGCGCCGAGGGCGCGGAGACTCTGTGCATCACTCCGTGAGGTGCTTTGGGTGCGCTGGGTTGGCCAAGCTGGTCCGACCCGATAGAGGTGGAGGTGCGGAGTGACACGGTGCGGTAGGTATTCTCAGGAGGGGTTTTGGAGGAAGGTGCGACGGGTATGACATCGGCGCGAGGTCTGCCTTTTGCAGGTGGAAAGATGTGGAACGAATGTAAAGAATCATCTTTTTGGAAGCTGATTCGTAGAACACTGACCTCCTTGCCAAAAGTGCAGAGCCATTTCATGTCCACTGGAAAGAGATGCTGATCTATAGACTAGACTCAGTCGTCTGCGCATCAGGAGGCTCTTGAAGAAGCCGTAGCCAGCTGCATTTGGAATGAGAGGTGAGGAGAAGAGGAGAAGACGAGAAGAGTGCAGCTGCGCGCAAAGCGTGTTGGTGATGTGTTTCGTTGTTGTGGAACACAATACATTTTGCATCATTTTGCATGGTCCTGGTGAGGTCACAGTGGACACGTACTCAACAGAGGGACTGTATTCCTGTCACAAAGGATTCTCAGCTCCCAGATTTCGCTGCGTCTTTGGAACTTTTTCAAACACCGACACACAATTCCGCACACCATGGCTCCTCTCTCTTTGGTTCCCGGCCTCCAAAAAGCCCGCGTTTCACGTTTCACCCCGCGTTTTTCCACCGCGACGGTGGGCCCTGATCCCCTTCGATCCCCGTGTCTCACCCCGGTGTCGTCGTAGGGACCTGGTGATGGCCTCGCGCTTGCGGAGCTTGGTCTCTGGCGGTCGCCTCGTCGTGGCAGTGCTGGGCCCAAGGCATCTGCCCGGCATTGCTCGGTGCTGGGCCCACGAGGCACCGGAGGGTGGGGGGGGTTCGGGGGGTCGGGGTTGGGATGGGGAGAAAAGCCTTCGCACCAAGCCTGGGGAGGTTTGAGAGTTCCCAAAGTCATTATAGAACTACCTCTCTGGTCCTTAAAAGCTTTGCGCAGATGAGCTTTAATCAAGCAATGGCCTCCAACCTACAGTAGCGATGGCCTCCAACCTCCTAAGATCTTACATTCACCTTTCTTTACAGATGAGATAATGAAATTGTCGTGTGCTGTCGCCATGTTGTCCATTTTTCCATGGGACTAAGCCCCTCGAGCCCCAGCTGCGAAATCACAGAAACTGCCTCAGGTGTCATTTAGGGTGATCTGGTTTCTACCTCGGTATGACTTCAGAAATTCAGAATGCAGCTTTGGTTGTAAAACACGGATTTGATTTCATCTCCAGATGCATCTCATCTCCGGTAGGTGGATCCCGCACGTGTCGAAGCGTACTGCCAACCGGTGGCCTGGAGCGAAACTGGTCCAGGGCTTTCCGGTCGAGGGCGTTGTGATCCAGCTTTTGAACAGGGAAGTCGGCAGGTTGAAGAAGTCGGCAGTCTGAAGTTGCAAGTGTCATGGTCATCAAAGATTCATATCATTTTCGTTCGCATTTGCAATAACTTTATATATTTTATATTGTATTATGATAGAAAACCATGTGAGTGTCCAAAAAACCATGCGACTTGTGCCGTCATGAACACCACACAACCTATCTATCTCATTCTATCTCTATGTGTTTCGTGGAGCCCAAATCCTTCTTTTCAGTGTGGGGAGGTTGCACTCAGAGTCCTTCCTTTGATCCTTACTTGGCATCCTGGCAAGAAAGACACGTTTTTCCTTTTCGAGAAGCGCCCTTCCAGAATTCTCGGATTCTTTTATCGGAGTCGAATCGTCGAACCATTCCACACATCGGGCCCAAACAAAACTCTGTTCAATCGACTCTGGCCACATTTCTTTTTAGTTGAAATCGACTGAGGTGCAGCTCCCCCTTTGGCGTCGAATCCTGGGGCGGCCCATTATCTGGCGCCTGCGTGGGTGGGGGAAAGATGAGCGAAGCAGTGGGCGTGAGAGTTAGGAGACAGACGGCAAAACCATGGAAACGCCTTTACGGTGTGGATTGGATTTTCTATGATTTTCTTCTTGTCCCTCTTCTGTTTGGCTCAGGGACGTTCAGGCTTTTTGGCAGAACAGCGCAACTTTTGGATGTCACTGGTCATGAAGCAAGAAGATGGACATGAAGAGTCTGAGAGTTTTTTTTTTTTGCAGGGATGAACGCAACCTGTAGAACCACAACAAGACCCAAAGGGGAACAAAACACCATGCGAAACCCCTGGCGTTCTCTTGTTTCCAACGGCCAACGGCCAACGGCGCACTCGGACGCGGACGAGTGGCCGCCAAGCCGTCGACGGTGTGGGACGCCCTCCTGGGTCGGCAGAAGAGCCGTCGACTGTGTGGGAGCCTGTGAAGAGCAATCAGTTCCCCAGCGCCCTACCCAAAGAGGTAAGAGGTCTATGAATGTCTATGAATGTCTATGCCTGCTTCATGCAGCAAGAGGTGCAAAGCCAAGCTTTTGGAAGGCAGAGTCCCTGCAACCCCCCACGTCAAGCCACAGGAAGGTTTGCAGTCGCATGGTCTGGTTGAGAGAATACAGCCCTCCCCAGTGGAGTGGTGCTTCTTTTCTCTCTTTCTCTCCCTGTGCTTTGGTGGTGTTGGCCAAACGAGCGGCTCTCTTCCCAAAACCAACAATGTCTGCTTGCCGCAAAGCTCCGATGTGTTTGGAGTGAGACTTGGTGACTTCGTTGGCAGTTGAATGAGTGATTTTGTACCAATTTCGTTTGCTTCTAGGTTGGAGGCCATCGCTATTAGGTTGGAGGCCAATGCTATTTAGGTTGGAGGCCATCGCAGAAAAAAAAGAGAGCCAAGTCACCAAGTCACCAAGGGAACACCCACGGGCTCCTCTCCCACCCCAAAGGCGTGAGTGAGGAAAACGAGCACTTGACCGGTCGTGTCCGTTTGGGTCAGAAGCGATCCGTTTTCAAACGAACGGCGTTTTGCTTGCTCTTTCTGCTCAAGGAGAATGGCCCCAAAAGAGAGAATGCACATGAGTTGCATGTTTTTGTTTTTTTTTTCTCCAAGGTAGAGATGGTCCTTGAGATCCAATTCATCTTACATTGCCCAACACTGAATTCCTTGGCTGCCTCTTCACTGCTACCATGGCTCGATTTGAAGGGCGGCAGAATGAGGGCCACATGGTGGTGGGCCACGACGCAGGTGTCTCCAGCGCGCCCTTCGCGGCCTGCCGCGTGCCGGCCACGCGCGCGCACCTCTCCAAAGATAGCTTGCGCATCGACATGGAGATCCAGTTCCCCAAGAAGGAGAAGAAGAAGGCCGTGGCGAAGACAAGAAATCACGAATGGTGGAACATATGAATGATGGGAATTATGCATTGTACAGTACTCGTATATTAATTGTATAACTATAACTAATCAATATTAATCATATAACTAATGTAGAATCTTACTAACACCTCCCAGGCCCGAAGACGAGGTTTTAGTCTTCAGAGCTTTTCGGTGCTGGGCTTCGGTGCTTCCGCCTTTCCATTGCCCCGAAATCGGCTGCTTCGGGCGGTCAGGCCAAAGCGTGGTCGGCGGCCAAGCGGAACACCGGGTCGATGCTGAGCCACATCTTCACGGAGCAGAAATATCCTGAGCCTGTGTACTTCCAGAGCGTGGATTGCGTGGGCATTCCTCATTTCCTGTCACCCAAGGACAATGATGTTTGAACACACTCTTCGGGTGTGGGTCAGGAAAGAACATCTGTGACCTCAAGTAGACGTTGTCTCACATCTCTATGAAATGGTGGGTTGAAGATCTCCCAATAGCGATGGCCTCCAACCTAATAGCAATGGCCTCCAACCTATTAGCAATGACCTCCATCCTAATAGCGATGGCCCATCCTAACAGCCATGGCCTCCATCCTAATTCCCATGGCCTCCATCCTAATTCCGATGGCCTCCATCCTAATAGCGATGACCTCCATCCCAAAAGCGATGGTCTCCATCCTAATTCCGATGGCCTCCATCCCAATAGCGGTGGCCTCCATCCTATTATTGGTTGAAGACTTTTGTAGCTTTGTTTTGGGTGCGGGTTATTCCGCCCTTCACCGCCAGTTCCGAGTTGGTCCCAGGAGTGTCGGAAGATCATTGACTTTGCCGAAGCACAAGGCTTCAGCCGGCAGAACCGACATCGGGTCCTGAACATGATGTGGAGCGATTCTTGGTGTTGCTGAAACCCTCCCTGCACTGCTCATGGAAGTAGACGTTCTGGCCACTGGAAAGACCATGTTCCGAATACCAAGCAGGGTGTGGTCTATTTCCATGTTTGTTGCAGGGAAGTGGTGCAAGGTGATGTTTTTTTGGTCTCCGCGCATGCATGGGTGAAGCCCCCTTTTTAGTAATCATGGCTCCGTTCACTGGGAGCTTTTCATGACCCTGTGACGTATTCATGGGCTCTTAGCTCATGCGTCCTGCGGATGATATATTATAGATAATAATGTAAACCGGTGGTGTTCACGCACGTGTTCCGTCGACACGTGTTCCTCCCGCGATTTTTGCAGGATTTGATCGACCCCTTCTTGGTGGAAGCCTTATGGCAGGTTTGTGGACTGGGCTGGTTCTTGCGGAAGCTCACGATCGACGGGGAGGTGGGGATCGCTTCAAGAAAGACGTGCGGTGCGCTTGTGGGTGTTGTGGTTGGTTGGCTGGCTGGCTGGTTGGTTGGTTGGTTGGCTGGTTGGCTGGTTGTTTGTTTGTTGGTTGGTTTGTTGTTTGTTTGTTTGTTTGTTTGTTTGTTTGTTTGATTGTTGGTTTGTTGGTTTGTTTGTTTGTTTGTTTGTTTGTTGGTTTGTTGCTTTTTGGTGGGGTTGGGTTGTGGTTGTGGTTGTTGTGCTTGTGGTTATTGCTGTTGGGTTGTGTGGCTGTGGTTGTTGCTGGTTGTGGTGGATGTGGTTGTGGTTGTCTGGCAACCTTTTTGTGAACGGTGAGTGCTTTCTTCATCATTGTCAGCCTCGGAGGTGTTCTTCTTGAGGTGGTTAAGGTGGTACATTGACACAGACAAGATTTGTCAAGACCACCTGGGTCAAACACAATCGCTCTCTTCACCCAAGGCAATTAGGGGTAGATATAAGGCTCTCCCCTTCTCAAGACTTGCAACTCTGAACTTCTGTACGCCATTGTAGGCCAAACACCAAATTCTTCCGACACCAAACTCTTCCCCGACTCAACCCTCCACTCCATTTCACTCCTCAAACCAGAACTCTGGGAACCGCCTGCCGCAGCTCCGCAGGTGCCGTGTGGGCTGAACGACGTGGTCCGGATCCAGAAGTTCGGCCCCGGCGGCGTGTTTGGCAAGCATACGGATCAGCCGGTGCGGCGCGCGGACGGACGGAACTCCAAGTACTCCCTGCGGATCTTCTTGAATGGAAAAGAGGCCCGCGCGAGGGAGGGAGGTGGCTGGGTGGCGGGGGGGTGGCTGGATGTGGCTGGAGATTTGGGAAAAGACGGTGAAATGGGTGAGGGTCATGGGAATTGGACGGAAAGGGATGTTGAAAGCAGTTCAGTTCAGCGCCAGTTCAGACTGTTCCAAATCTTCACACCTCATCCGAACTCGCAGCTGACATCAGTTGCTGCTTGAGGACGAGGCCTTTGAGGGTGGCCTGAGCGCCTTCCATGTGGCCTTCCGGCCGAAGCCTGTGGTCTTCGAGCCTGAAGCGGGCTTAGCCTTGATCTACCCGCAGGGGGAGTTCTGCCAGGTCCAAGAAGAGTTGGAGGTGTGGACGGACGCCACGCCATTTCGTTCCTCCCAGCCGGGATCTTCGATCGTTTCGTTCCGGAAGGGTTGAAATGGCGTTCTCTGGAACGGTTGGTGGGTCTTTTAACGCCGTTTTTGGGCAAGGGTTTGGAGTTTGAAACAAGCCACTGCTGCTGGTGCTTTTTGCGTTGTTGCAGTGCAGTTCTTCGCTTCCACGTTTCCTGGGCCATGTCTCCTGGGCCGCCCGAGCCATTCTGCACGTCTGGACCGTATGTCGTTGGATGTCTCTGCAGCATCTGCAGGTGTTGGCGGGAAACAAATACGTCCTCCGCGCGGACATCCTCTTCCAACGGGCCGATGAATTGGTTTCACCGCATGTGCCCTTTCACCATCCATCACCTTCCACCGGTGAGGTCATGTGAGTAGATAGGGGAGTGGACGGGACCAGCACCTGCACATTCGGCCTAGAGTCGGTGGAACTCCAATTCCAAGGGTGTTTAGTGGATTAAGGCATTCCAGCTTCCACAGTTTCTTCTTTAGATCTCCTGGAACCCGAGAACCGTGGAGTCTTATTTTTCACATTTTTTGCACTATGCCCAAGAAAGCCTTTTCGTCTCCAAACATAGAGTTTTTAGATGGTTTTTTGGTACAGCGGCCATGGCAGACATACCTAGCTCTTCCTCTATGAACAGCTTTCTGCCTTGGTTTCCAAAAAATAAACGGTTTGAACCTTCGACATGGACCTGAACTAGGACCCGTGTTTCCTGTTGGTACCGAACTGGGACAGTCGAACAGTCGGCGATCAGTCCCGTCCGGTCCAAACCTCGTCCGCTCGAACCTCCGGAACCGTTCCGGACGGCGCGGACCTCCGGGGGGTTTCCTTGGACGCTCCGGTTAAGACGACCGGGGACCGAGCGTGGTGGAAAAGTGGGAGACCAAGGATGGGAGGAGACCGATGTGAGATCCATTTGTGAGGACTTAGGACTTGATCCCAAAACACGCCAAACACTTTGAGGTGTCGAACAGGTTGGGCTACTGGAAGAACCCGGTGCAATCGGTGGCCCATCTGATTTTTTCGATCAACTCTTAAGACATCAAGAGTTGCCAGACCATTGGGCCTGACAACAGCTGACCAGTTTTGCTTTTGAGCACTTGGTGCCACCCCAATCCGCCTGTGCCGCTCGGCCAAGGCGGAATGTTCGAGGAGTCATTGGAGGAGACTGCTGGGAATTCCAAGTTGTGTGCACTGGGAATTCCATTCTGCGCAAAGAACACTCGTCTGGATGAACATGTCTTCACGTGACCATAGTAGCGAGAAGGCAAACACTCTACTGCATTTTTTTTGTATGCAGTTTCAGCCCATAGTTTGCAGAAATCGACTTTTGG